GCGCGGCCTTCGCGGGGACCGGCCCTGCACCGCAGGCTCCGCTGCTGCTCCCCACCCTGCCCGGGGCGACCGAACACCGGGCCGCGCTCACCTCCCGACTGGGACCCGGAATCCCCGCTCTGGGAGCCCGCGAGCCCGGCCTCCGCCGACAAACGGATGAAACCGAAACTGAAACCGCCGAGGCGGCGGCACGTTTCCGCCTCAGCCAATCACTGCTCCCGGGGCTACGGCGGCCCGCGGGGCCAAAAGAGCGCGGCCTGGCCGGCGCGCAAATCCGCGCGCAAATCCCCAAGTTTGGGCTCGCCTGCAGGCAGGTCGGGGCGGCGGGTTCGGCGGACCGCGCCGGTGCTCTGTCCTTTAGCAAGAAGCGACACTCTCCACCCCCACCCCAAAAACCCATAAACAGGAAAACAGGAAGTGATCTTTTAGGCAGAAATTGGACAAGTAGCTTGAAGCCAGGAAACTGGAATTGACTGCTAAAGTAAGGACTATACATACCCAGGAAGGTCCGTGAATAATTGAACGCAAATGAATAAATAAAAGAAGCCGCCTCAAATCTTGAAGTCCACCTGTGGATTTTTATTAAGTGTGTGAAAATAAAGTCATGATTAGCAAGAGATGGTTTCCGTGGCAACGCTAATTGACACACAAAGGATTAAAATCACTAAAGCAACTCTGTATTGTAATGGAATAAACTGTGTTGCATTAAAAGCTATTTCCAGCTGGAAATGGGGTGCAGGCATTCAGTGCTGCTATGGGAACTTGGTTTGGAATTTTGCGAATTCTCAATATTCTTGCTGTCAGTGGAAAGGGAGAGGTAAGTCAGAAAACCGTCCTACCAAGACTTGATTTCATTTTCTCCCTACACACAGGGCCTCATCAACTTAAAACGTATACTTTAATTCTGCATAATTTGTAACACTATAAACAGTGATAATATCTTGAAACAGATTCTTAACCCTAAGTGTTATACAATCTAAGATGCAAAATGTTTTTTTCTAAAACAAAAATGAGTTCCCCCTCTTGTAAGCCTGGCTGCTAAGGAGATGAACCCTTGATTGATGTGGGTGTGGTTTCGTAGAAAAGGCAGACTTCCTTCCATAAAAGCTCACTTTGGGCAAAGACTGAGCATTGTGGATTTATTGAAGGGCTGTATTTGAAGTTTTTGCAGTATAAAATATAACGTAAACAAAAAATTTAAGGAAAGTATTATTTAAATAAAATAATTAGCTGCAAAGAACATACACAATAGGATATAAAGCCCTGTCCCTAAAAACCTTCACAAAAGACATCCAGTTGTACCATATTCCCCATTGCGTGTTTCGATTATTTTTTAAAAAAGAAAAAAGAAAGAATGTTTTGATTCATAGCCTCTTTCCCTTTGCCACAGAGCCCTGATGGAGTCATTAAGACTGGCGTGGTGGACAGGGGCTCATGAGGAATTTTAGGGGTGTGGGTCATTTGTAGAGATAGTTGGCAACCCTTTCCAAGGGGCATGGACCTGTAAGGGCCCAACTAGACAAATGGGGCGGGCACCAGCCAACAAGTTTATCTCAGTGTGTTTATCCAGAACCTTCTCAGCAGCTTATAATTGGCTTTTACCAACTCACAAAGCAACTTTCCATATTTCACAGGTGGGTTTTTTTAGCATTTTTAATTTTACAAAGAATGGGTAAGGTTTTTCTGAATACTAGAAAAATACAAGAACTCACCTTCAAACCCATGGACATAAAGATTAATTTATTAAGTCATAAAAATAATTTTGCAAGATTTAGTTTAGCTTATATAGTTTAGTTTAATTTTTAAAAGTGATGAACCTACATTGACATCATTCTCACTCAAACTCCATAGTTCACATTGGGGTTCACTCTTGGTGGTGTACATTCGATGGGTTTTGACAAACCCATCGAATAATGACATGTACCCATTATTATCGTATCATACAGATACTATATGTCTCTGTACATACAGTATTTTGTATTTTCACTGCCCTAAAAATCTTCTGTGCTCTGTCTGTTCATTCCTTTCTTCGAACAAATCCCTGGCAACCACTGATCTTTTTACTGTCTCCATGGTTTTGCCTTTTCCAGAATATCATAAAGTTGGGATCATACAGTATGTAGCCTTTTCAGATTGGTTTCTTTTACTTAGTAATATGCATTTACGTTTCCTTCATGACTTTTCATAGCTTTATAACTCATTTCTTTTTAATGCTGGATAATAGTGCATTGTCTAGATGTAGCACAGTTTGCTTATCCATTTATTTACTAAAGCACATCTCAGCTACTTCCAAGTTTTGGCAATTATGAATAACCTGTTATAAACATCTGTATGCAGGTTTCTGTGTGGACATAAGTTTTCAATTCGCGGTAAATGAGTTGAGTTTTCAACTGTTTGAATAAATACCAGGGAGTGCAATTGCTGAATTATATAATGAGAGAATGTTTAGTTTTGTCAGAAACTGCCAAACTGTCTTCCAAAGGAGCTGGGCCATTTTGCATTCCCACCAGCAATGCATGAGAGTTCCTGTTGCTTCCCAACCTCACCAGCATTTGGTGTTTCCAGTGTTTGGATTTTGGCTATTCTAATAGGTGTGTAGTGGAATCCCACTGCAGTTCTAATTTGCATTTCTCTAATGACATATATTGTAGAGTATTTTTTCATATGCTTATTTACTACTATATATCTTCTTTGGTGAAGTATCTTCTGATCTTTTACCCATTTTTTTAAGATTTTTTTTATTGTTGAGTTTTAAGAGTTCGTTGCATATTTTGGATAATAGTCCTTTCTCAGATATGCCTTTTGCAAGTATTTTCTCCCAGTCTGTGACTTGTCTTCTCATTCTTTTGAACATATTATGTATTCTTAAAATCGGCAAGTAGTAGTCTAAAAATACTAAGGTGAACTCTTGCCATTTCATCAGTTGTTCTGAACTTCTAGAGCCCTATTCCTTTAAAAACTATGTTCTTTAGTGTTTCATGTTCATTAGAAAACATATGTCTAGCCTATTTTTTAAAACGCTCAACAACCTTGTGGACATGTGGGTGATTGTATTATGTTGATGATGCTGATGATATGTATAAATGTGGAATTGGCTTGGCCAATAGTCTCCAAAGCAGCTTTTAATACCTAAATCAGTGTTATAATTCTAAGATGCTGGTTGGTCTTGTTCCAGCAACGCATTACTGGTGTGAAGTCCTGGCACGCACTTGGATTTTTCCTGGACCTTCAGATTGGACATTAAAAACATCTGTCCTGTCACATATTAGTTTTGGACCACTATTATCTACCTTTTTATCACAGGCTGTGAAAGATACCCTACAGTTGTTGAATATCCCCTCCACCACTTTTTTACAGCGTAGCTTTTCAGTCATCCCACTCTTATGCAGGGTCTCAATTCCAACTCTCTACTCCAAACAGGGCCAATGCCTTGTCTCTTGTACTCAAGGGCAGTAAAATAGTCACTTCCATTCTTCTGACCCAATTCAAACCTTATTACCTTCTAGGTTCCTGCGAGAGCCTTAAAACCGAGGTCTCATCAGTTGGAGCCCAATCCCCTTCTCTTCAACCAGGCCAACTCCTAATAGCACATTAGGTCGTAGCTCAAACATAGATTCCTTAAAGAAAACCTTTGATAATCCCTCAGACTAGATAGCCCTCCTCTTGTTCAGGATCATGGTACACTATGCTTCTCCTTTGGGCCACTTGTGAATGCCCCGATTAAATAACTCAATGTGTGTGTGTGTGTGTGTGTGTGTGTGTGTGTGTGTGTGTGTGTGTGTCCTCCCCTGTGTGTACTCTGTGAACCCAGTGCTGATGTGTCTAT